GCTTCAGACATTCGTAAATTCGTTTTTTGCCCGAAGCCCGAGCCTCGGTAACAAAAACCACCCCCCTCCCCCAGTGGCGGGGATAATGGCTGGATAATAATCTTGTAGAACAAGCCAGACGATAATCGAGAGGAGTCTGTATTCTTATATTCTTGCCTACCTGCAAATGGCGGACACCCCCACCACTTGCATCACTTTTCCCTCGTCTATTACCGGTCTAATATAGTATATAGAAGTCCGTGACTAAACCTCATTAAAAAGTCAGCGTTACTCCTGGTGACACCCCGTTGTCAGTGTCGAGAAGCCTTCGAGCACTCATCTAGGATTTACTGCAGTGCACAAAAGACGCTTTCCGCCATTGCGTTTACCGTCTTATGTATACATATATCGTAACGATAGAATCGAGGGGACCGTAGGAATTGAACCGAATCGTATTCGCCGAACCTGGATGCCATTGTATCGACACCTGGGCTCGACTTTCGGCGAGTACAGCCGAACCGTCGAAAGTGGCGAGGAAGAAGGTTAATAGGGGTGAGCGAGTCCGAGCGATTCGCTTCGTATATCGGCGCCGGTCTCGGCCAACCCTCGTCCCCGTTCCACGGCGAGAACCGCGCGCGAAATTATGTACAACGAATAGTACATAACGCCTGTACGCCAGTCGAATGGCTACTTTGGCCAGTCGGTCGGGGCGAGCATGCAATGACCGCCATTGAGAGAGCCTCCTCGCCCCACGGCTCTCGAATACGCTGCCGGGACGCGGCCGCGGCGGCGGCGGTGGCGGCGGCGGCCATTATAAAAATAACTGCTGATTGGACGCCCTACCAAGAAAAGTCGTAATCGCATCCTGAAATGCCTCTTCTCTCTTCCCTCCGATCCCTCCCTCGCCGCTTGAACTCCCTCTGTTCTCTTCCTTCTTCCTCCTCCACTCCCTTCCCCTCCCCCCTTTCTTTTCCCCCCTCGTCATTTCTTTCTCCCTATCTTTGCATCTTTCTCTCTGTCTCGCCTGTTTCGTCGCGGATTTCTACTCGGTGCCGAACAATGAAGTCCCCCACACCTTCATCCCGGTTACGTACCTCTCGGGTCCTCCGCGACGTCCATGATGGTTCCGTGATGGGTTTCCTGAGGTGAAAGGGTAGGAGAAAGAAGATGACTGTTGAGGATTCGAACGTTCTGAAAGAAAACCTGATAACTTTGTGTGTATGTACTCGCTAATGTGTCAACCGGTCTGGGTGTTATAACGGATATGAGGAATTTTGCTAAATCGGTAAACGATTTAAATTACCAAGATGATTTACTGACTCATTAAAACATTAGTGACACTGCCCTTAGTCCATCTATGACATATAAAGTAGTACGAGATGAAGGGAAAGACAACGATTGTCACTTTGTGTGATAAAGCTACAAGTTTATTGTTAAGTTAACCTTACAGTATATAGTAGACTTATGTAAAATTCGGGACACTCTTGATGTACTTTTCGTATAAAAGAGTATGAATTGTATGCTACAACTCTCATTAAAAAAGTACCACCATTTTCCACAGAATCGTGAGCTATCCCATTCTGCTTCGCGAAAGATTCACGAACGATGATGCAGTAGCCAGGAAAAGTGCATAAAACGCGTTGGACAGCGAACAGAGGTCTCGAGTTCATCCTCTTGGGCTGGGACAGAAAGGATGGGAGGCAGGGAAGAATCGGCCGCCATTTTGCGAGCGCAGCTTTTATCGCCGCGCCCTATATAGGAGCATTATGCCTGGGTTGCCGGGTTGCGCGTATATCAACAATAATTGCAGGGCCAATAATAAAGCCGGAGGGGCCACGCTCGATAGCCCGAAATTGCTGGTTCCCCTACCCCGGCGTGCAACGTTTTATTGCCTCCACTCTCGGGAGAGCAGGAAAGCGTTCGCTAGCCCCTCGGTCTCGAGCAATTTTCTTACGCTAATAGCGAAACGTCCGCTCCAATTTCGTTGGTGTATCGATCGAATTTTTGGCGAAGGTTCAAGAATCTTCACTGACACTCGTCTAGCGAACGTAAGATCGTTTTAACCTAATGTGATGGTAAACGCCATATTTATTTTACTAATCATTTTCATTCCCTTTGCTATTTTATTATGTACACTGAAAATGTGAACCTCCATTCGTGAAAGTCACACAAGAATTATTAAGCTATTTTATGTATCGCTTGGATACAGAACCCCCGAAGTATAATCTCAAATATGCACACACGCATATATACATGTCTAAACAATTTTCTGCCCAATTTGATCTTCAGGCCAGTGTACAATAAAACAGCTACCACTGGTCAAAATTAATTAGTATTCGATCACTATATAGCATCCAGTGTCATTCACCCTTTTCAGGTTAGTATAAACTGGTACCCAATATTTCTTTTGTTTTTCAAAATGTTCTATCAGAAGGCTTTCCTTACTGATATCTGGCCTCGAATTGGCATTCTGTGAAGAGGTCACTTTATAGGTTTGGATACATTTACAACTAAGCCAACATCAACCTCATCATCCCAAGCGTCAATCTTTCAGTATTCTAAACGAACCAATAGACTCCAGATTCACAACACCCAGTTGAATCCATCGCTAGCCGTGTCCGATCCACAGCTACACTCGCTGTGTTTCAGCTCGGCTCCACTCGGTACGCCGCGAGCCACACCGAGCCTAGTTACCTCCTCTCGCTATTATTATTGCAGATACTGCTGCCGTTTCCGCTGCTTCTTCTCGTTATTATTCCCCTGCGTTGTTGTTGTCGTCGTCGTCGTTGTCGTTGTTGCTGGCCGCGCGTTAGAGCGAGGCGTGTTTCGTACGAGGAATCGTTCGCGAGCTCGTAAACAGCCGCAAAGGAGAGCTCTCGCACGCGCGATAGTCACGAGTATTGCCCTTGTTAACGCCCCGTTAACTCGAACCTCTGGACAAACTCGTAAAATTTACCGGCTTCGGAGCCGGGTACGCGCGCTGCCAGCACGCGGCGCGTCTCGGCGGCTGCCGGGTGAATTTTCGCGTGACTTTAAATCCCCGATCGGAATTATGTGTTTAACGCAAATGCGCGTCCGTTTCGTCATCCCGACTCGGCGAACATCTTCACTGGCCAACCGATTTTTTCATTCCTCCAATTTTCTTCACACGGATTTCTCTTCTGACAATTTCCGAGAAATCGAAAACTCTCATGAGCTGCACCAACCGATGGATCGAATCTGATTGACTCTACGTTCAGATAATGAGACCTGTATGAAAATTGATCACCGAGTACGGTTAAGGGTTTCACACATAAGCAGTGCTCTGTTATTACCTATCAATCCGCGCAAAGCCTGAAACATCACCGAATACACGAAAGTTCAAGACTCGTTCGCCGATTATTTTCGACCTCGAACGCGTATTTACGAGGACATCGTGTGAAACTACGGTAACGCGAAGGCTCGTAAAGACCGACGTTTACGTACACGTAGCAGAACCCCGCGAGATGGCCGCGTCGCCGTGTCGCTACTCCTGTTAACACACCGTTAACACGAATCTCGAACGGCCTCGTAAAATTCGACGGCGACGGGGATAACATGCGTTCGTCGCGTCGATGAAATCCTACGGTGTGTTATAGGAATCGGTGCGAGGGACACTTACCCGCGGCCTCGCCATCTTGCTTCCTCTTGCAATCGTAAAGCGGAGATTTGCGGTCGTCCGGGTGTGTAACCTTCGACCTGCGTGCATCCGTTCGCGGTTTATTCGAAAACTTGTCAAGATCTCGTAATCATCGGGGGTGGTTCCGTAGAAGTATTATGACCGCTCGTAACGAAGATACCGCCACATCTCGATGGAATTACGATTCCAAGAGGATCCTTTATTCCGTTGTCGGTCACGATCGATCCGTCACTCTCACCGATCCTCCTCCCCCCGAGCTTTCTCCCTTCGATCCTCCTCCCCCCGAATCTTCTCCCTCCGATCCCCCTCCCCCCGAACCTTCTCTACCCGCTGATCCTTCTCCTCGCCGATCCTCCTCCCTCTCCCCACAACCGACTACCCTTCTCGTCCAGCGGTGCTCCGCTTTCGTTCTTTTGTTCTATTTGTTGTACGATACGGGTAAGGAGATCGTAAAAGCCGCGGCGCTCGCGTGATCGTTACGAATTCGTTATTGCTCTTGTTAACGCCCCTTCGCTGGAAGCCTTGGACAAACCTCGTAAAATTTCAGCCGGTGCACCCCGCGTAAAGCATCGTCGAAAATGCGCCCGAACCGATCACGTGACGGATAAGGAGACCCCGGGTCTCGGGAACGGGCGAGTTCGCCTCGAAGCGGCCGATATACACACCCGCCTCTTTAACCATCGCCTGTCTCTTTTTTTTTCTCTCTGTCTCTCTCTTACTTTATTCCCCTTTGCTCGCTCCGCGGTATATACTCAGGCTGCGTTGGAGGTAATTTCGACTGAGAGCGATAAGGGAGCTGTGACAAGGACAGTAATTACGATGGATTCATATTTTTCTGCAATTTCTGATCGCGTCGGACTTCCATGCTATTTCCTATAATCTCACTTGTCAATCTTTACCCCTGGAAGGACGCTACGTGATAGCTGGTGAATAAATTATCGTTTCTACCGTTGACGATTCTTCTAATCCATATCACGGAAACCAAGATGGCGCCCTACCGTTCACATAGTTACTCTTACGTACTTAATTTTTTTTAATCTTGATCACTATCGTTGTTTGTATGGCAGTTTATGTTAGATCTATCAGTGTATACGACGTCCTTTGGTAATAATTAAAAAAAATTGTTTGTCTAAATTTTATAAATTGTAACAACTACAGTTATCACAGGAGAAGTATACGATGGATGTAAAGCAAGGGGCAGATTAAAAAATAAAAAGGACCTGTAGCCAGTCAAATGGTTAAAACTATATATTGAATATGAGAAAAAAAATTTGCATATTAATCGACGGTACACAAAATAATTTCGCACAAGGATTCCCAACCGTTCGCCCCCAGGCTTATCAGGACACGTTTTTTGTTTCAGGCACACCGATCAATCGGCTGCCGATCATGGCGAAATCGGTTCTGGATCTATACGAGCTGTACAATCTGGTGATCGCCCGAGGCGGGCTGGTCGACGTAATTAACAAGAAGCTCTGGCAGGAAATCATCAAAGGCCTCCACCTGCCATCGAGCATCACTTCCGCCGCGTTCACTCTACGCACCCAGTAAGTAGATCGTGAAGTTTCTCATCCGGGACCCTGTATCCCGCCCCGTGTCTGTTCGCCGGTGATTCGCATACAATGAGTCCCCGTGCGCGCTCTCGACAAAAGCGCATCTGAGCATGAAATCTGCGCCGATGACTAAGAACCCGGGGGCCCTTTTATGTTTCTCCGCTTCCCGAAGAAGCTGGCCCCCAGTGGCCCCGCGGTGTGCCCCTCCTTTCGATTGCTACGTCGAATTTGACGGATGACGCGCCCCTTGCCGAGCTACTCGGGTTACCATACAGTTAGAGTGGATATAAACGGGTAGGAGACGTATTGGAGTACGTTAATTTCCTTAAAGTACTGTTTACAAATATAGACTCCCACTCATAAGTATTCGAACACTTCATCGAATACACAGTAAATGTTACAATCCTAATCTATTTGAAGTAATATTATGAAAGGGTATCGGAAGATAAAGAGATCAAAAGTTCTCTTAGACCGATTTGGACTTGGAATGTACCATTCGATAGCTTGTCAAGAAAAATAGTCTGTGCCAAGTTTCAACCCTCTATAATCCGAATTTTCCATATTACTACCCTCCTGATCGAGATAGAGGCTTGAAACTTGGCAGAGACTGTTTTTTTCTTGGCAAGCTGCCTAATGGTATATTACAAGTCCAAATCGGTCTAAGACCACTTCTGAGCCCCTTATCCTCCTATACCCTTTACCTTGATAAAGATCCCCCTGACTGATAACCTGGCTACGCCCATGATTCTCAGCTACTATATTCTCCAAATTGTACGCAACTTTTTCCGTACATTACACAGAGACACCAGTGCACCAACGCTTCTTCTATCCGCTAAAACACGATTTTCCAAGTGGGAAATCTTTCGCCCGAAGATCCTCTCGATTCAAACGCTTCCGAAGCTTTATTTACCCTCCGATGGGAACACACACGGTTGGCCCAACTATCACGACCAGGAAACACGTTCCCATCCCCCTATAATTAGATTTAAATGCCTCGGAGAGCGTCGCGGTTTCGCCCAAAGTATCAGAGATACCCACACGTATGTACACGGTAGGTGGAATCGAAACGAAACAATCGCGGTGGTGGCATGGGACATCAAAGGGCGGTAGGACGGCTTCCGGACAGCCGTTGTTTGGAGAACGGTATCATCATTAGCCGGTGGCCCGGGAACACCGTCCGTTGGTGGGTTGTTTGTGTGCTTAAGATGGCGGCTTGTATCAGGAACCGGCCCCCGTGTTCTCCGCGAAACAAAAATATACCATCGGCCGGGCACAAAAGAAACTGCTCCGCCGCCACGGGAGCACACAATATTAGCGTTTCTCTGGGCCGTGCTGCGAACACTCTCGGAAACATGGAAAGACGACAGCAGCCAGCTCGAGCGGCTCGTGCCGGTTTAACCCCATTCGTCACCTGCCAGAGGAAACGGACGACGCCGCCTTTCCGCGCCTCGTCCCCCTCTCCACGTTCCCGTTGTCCGAGGATCGAAGCGGGTGTCAAAACAGAATGTCCGTTCGGGACGGGGATTCGGCGAACACGGGTCGTTCCGCGGCTATCTCGTGGGGCGGAAGTTACCCGGAAAAATACGAGACAATTTCCTGGAATCAAAGTCTCCCGCGGGAGCTACCGCCGTCGGTATTACGGACTAAAATTAGTCGGAGCTTCCGGGTTTGCTGGCTGCGGGGAGCATTGTCTCCCGTCACTGTTGCCGCTTTGCGACCGAGATTCTTGCGAATTCTGGGCATTTTAGGGTTATGAATGTGATTTGAGTGTGCTGCTTATTTTTACGATTGACAAGTTAGACAGAGAGTTTGACTATGTAGGTTCTGCTAACAGTCTCTGACTGTAAGTGTTGTCGATGTGGGACTTAGGAACATGTAGCGATAGGTACTTGAGGGTGTTATAGGTTAGGATTACTGAAGCTTCTGTGACAAAGGCATTTATTGGTAGATGTACTGCCGATAACGATAATTATTCTTTGTCTTGTATTTCCATACAAAATACACTGTAACGTGTTTTATTTCATAAAGCAATATTTGGTCGGAAACGGTAGTCCCATTGAGCCAGCAGATGGCGCAGTGATCGGGGTCCCCGATTCGCTCGAGCAACGCCATATTGTTTTTCAAGAGGATAACAACCTCGCGAAACTCTAAGAGTCGCGGTAAATAGGACAATCGAGCACGTGATATTCTTTTTATCATTTTCTTACAGAGAATAGGAGTTCGTCTCCTAGGAGACACAACTTCTTGAAATCAAAGTTTCCCACTTCCTCGATCGACATTCAGTAAAAATCAGTCTATGCTTTCAAGTGTGACGACTATTTTTCAGGAAATCTTCGCAACTTTTATATACGTTACGTTACCGTTTTTGTTGTTTTTATGATCAACGAGATCGACGAAAGCAGGGGTCAGCAAGCTCGGTTCAGGAACAGAAAGTTAATATAAATTTGACGGTATATTTATCAACGAGCTATTTTCGTCGAGCGATTCGCGACGCGTCCGCGGGCGCGCTGAACAGGAGGATGAAATTAATTGAGGGCCGCAGATTTGTCTCGACAAAGGAACCGTTTCGTGCGAGTACATCGCGGCCAATCGAGAGGAAAAGCAAACAGCCGCCTCGAGACGGGCACGTGCAGGCAACAGCTGTTTTCTTTCGCGAAGCCGTTTAATCGTCCTCCACGGTGGATCTTGGTGCACGGAGCGTTTACCCACACGGATCATTTTACAATAAATGTATCGGAACGAACGATCACTACACACTAGTAATAATCACGTTATTTTAAAGTTTATAATTGGTAAGGTAATAGAAATTTCTATAACATAATCTAGAAATCTGACTGTACCTTGTATACGCACGATTCTAATTTGTTATCTGTTATACAGGGTGTTAATAAAAATATGGGACACTTTCGCAGGGTGGATTCTATATGTCAAATTAAGACGAGAATCAAGAATGACGAAATTACGTTTGAGGCTTCATTTTCAAATTATTAATTGTTGAACATACAGGCAAAACACGTGTAAAATACGTCTCACGCGACTGGTTATTCTAAATACTTGAGAGAATCATTCAATTTTTTAAACACATTTTCTGTTATAACCCGCCTTAACACATTGGCTCCCACAGTGAAAATGACCGTACGTAGCCAGACATACTTTCTCTCGTTTTTTAAGTCATAAATCGCCGAAAATATATACGTATAGTTAATAGAGACTGTAGGTCTTGTTTTAAATTATACTGCGATCTTAATTTTACGCAAAACTTTTAAAATATTTAGATAATCCATATTTGGGTGACGTGCAGTCAAAGATTAATGCATAGTGTCCCCAAAATCGTGGTACAACCGCCCAGGTGATAATTCTTTAAACAAAACTAAGCAAATTAGAAATAGCATTTTTTCATTTAAGGCTTAGTTTCGGAGATAGATAATCAAATTTCATAATGTACTGGATACGCGTCCAGTTGAATGTGACTTGGCCATCGCGTCTGATCATTGCATTCCGTATTTACTTAATATCATGACGAATACACGCGATTCAGATCAATCTTCGAGTTCGATTTTCTCGAAAACGAAAGCTCAATCGAAAAAAATGTATTCTTTCATTTCGATTTATTTGTCGTAGTATTTCTAAAAAGTGGGCACCATAAGGTAGGGTGACTTTAATTCAGGCAAGGTAACTGTGTCCAAAAGTCAGAGAATGATCATTTTCGATTTTACAGCTCAGCAAATTGCTAAATTAACTTAATTTTCATTAAAACTGAGATTTTGTCAAAAGTGATCATTTTTTGTTTTTGGGACGAAGTTACCCCTAATTGAGTCAAGGTTACCCCAAATACGGTACACGCAACTACACTTTCCACCAACTGCATCTAGATATTGATCAGACATTCGTCTCGAAGATCCGTCTTGACAAAAGCGAAAGCACCCTCTGGAGAAAAGGTGGAGGGGAACCAAGCTCGACAGAGCGAGGCGAACACGCGGGCTCTCCGGAGTAGCGCGGGCTAATACGAATTACACGTGAAAATAACCCCTCGCGACGCTCGGCGCGTGACGCGCGACAGAACGTCGGGACGCCGGCGCATCCATCATTCCGGCAACCGGTTATCTCTCCGCCAGTGGAAGAGGGACAGACGTAGGAAACGAAAATGTAAAAGGAGACACGGTCAGACGGTGTGAAGAGAAAGGGAGAGAGAGAGAGAGAGAGAGGGCAAATGTATCGCCGCGATGCTACGACTATATCCAGCCACGCGCCTTCCTCCGTGTAATTATTTATACCGCGAGGGAGGTAGCCCGGTCCATTGTGCTGAAGGACAACGCGCGATGCTTTCGACAAATTTCACCTGGTTCGAATGAATCATTCCCGGCGGGACCCATTTCAAACGTTGATTGAATCGTTGAACGCGAGAAGATGAACGACTACCAGCCGCTTTTGCCAAGCTTGGGACCACGTTTCTCCGTTGAATCACAAATAACACGATGCACGGGTAATAATAATGTAGATTTTTATCGTAGACGGATAAAAATACGCCACGTTGGATGGTCGCGTCGCCGATGAATAGGTGCACCAAGGCACGCTCGAGCGGTTTTATTCAACCGCTTAGTGTCCCAGCGGACGCGAGTTAACGAGACTCGACTCAGAACTGGTCTCTGACAAATGCTCACGCGCGGAGCTCGAGGAGCCAACAGACGGGAAATCGGTGCCAACAATCAGTCGGGACTCCGAGAAGTCGACGGGAAAGGATACCGATGCGTTGTTCGATGTTCTCGGCCAGGCTCTTTGAAATCTTGGGAGATTTCTAAAACTGCTGGAAAGCTGAAACGAAGTCAATATCTTGGAAAAGTCTTATGAACCACGATACTACGGTACTACGATATTGCGATACTACGATACTACGATACTGCGATACTACGATATTACAATACTACGATACTGCGATACTGCGATACTGCGATACTACAATACTACGGTACTACGATACTATGATACTGCGATACTACGACACTACGGTACTATGAAACTACGATACTACGAGACTACGGTAATATGATACTGCGATACTATGAGACTACGATACTATGATATTACGATACTTCGATACTACGATACTACGGTACTATGATACTGCGATACTATGAGACTACGATATTATGATATTACGATACTACGATACTATACATATTTGAGAATGAATCAACGATTCTCGGTAAACTCGTTGAACCGTTGCATCGCGACTTTGATTATCATCTACATAAAAAGAAATCACACGGTCCCTTTCTTAAAGTAGATACCCCGTGTACGGAACATGTGGAAATCATCCTAACAGAAGAATGTCGATAAATAATTTGATATATTCGACCAAGCTGTCCGGGATCATCGAAGACATTCTAACCTACGAGGAAGCCGAATACAAGTCGAAGTCGCTGAAGCCTCTTTAAAATCGACGTGTCTCGACGGTTACGGTTGCCATTCAGGTACAAATTTCTCGACAGGCTCGTTCGACCGTTACAGCGCGAATTTGATTATCACCCAGAGGAGGGAGATTTATGCCCATGGTCCATGGACGCACACCTGGGACAAAGACTCGCGTGCACACGGTGAGGAACCCCGGCGAAACTATGCGGCCGTCGTTGTTGAAGCACGCACGAGACACAGGAACTCTCGAACGGGCTTGAGAGGGGAGGAGGTGGAAGGACGGAGGATGGAACGACCGGGCCGAAGGGCTAGTTTCGGCCGCAGTCTGGCAGACAATCGTAAAAGCCGAACGATCCCTGCGCGAATTATAGGCCGCGGTTCTCTTGCGGGAATATGTCTATCCATGAACGTGTGTGCGAGAATGTCTGTTACCCGTGGCCCACCTCTCTTAAAGGTTTCTCTCTGTCTGGCCAGATAGCGCGTCAGAATAAACAATATTTACGAATTAACCCTCTGAATAATGCCCCTACCGGACGAAAAACTCGATTTCGAGGCCCTCACTGCGGTTTCAGTGGCTTCGGGATTGTTACGTTTCTTCTGCTGCTTAGGATTCTCGTATTCAACGTTGTGGTTTCTGATTTAATGCGAGTGAACGGCGTCCAGACCATTCTAATCAATCTTCTGTTCCTTTTGTTGTTAATAATAGGACATCGTTTCGATGCGTTCATCTCGTCGGAATAAACAGCCCGTCGACTTGTCGAAGATCTGTAACGAAAGTGTCGAGCACACGTGCGATAATCGTTGCTCTGCACGCCGGTGATAAGTTTGCTGAACTTCGCGAGCCAAACTGTCGGAATCTCGTGTATTTCTTTGTGTAGTCGCAGCGACGACACACACACTGTATCGCTTGTCTACACGGAGGCTTAAGAAATCGATCTGAAACAGGTGTTCGGACGGTTCCCACATTATGGTACATTGGAACAGTTGCCAGAGAGAGTCCGTTTAACCGGACTTAGTAGCACGGGTGCAATTAGCGCAAAGAGACTTGGGATGGAGCATCAAAGCCTGTAGAGCATCGCGCCAGAGACGGGGGAATTAAATTAACCGGCTCATAGGAGGACGCGCGTCGTTCGGATGCGCCATGCCAACTTCGCTTCCGGCGAACCACGACGCGTCGTCCACGATGGACAATGCCGGCTGCGTCTCGACGTGATTCCAATTAACCTGACGATCCGGCTGGCATACGTTCTTGTCTCGTCGAGCATTATTGGACCGTGTTGAACAACGACGTGTCGGGATTTCGCGAGTTTTCCAGTCGAATGATCGATACACCTTTCGATACAGGGTCATTCCACGCGAAATGTGACACTTTCTGAAGCACCATTTCGGATTTCGTTCAAATTCGGATATGTGTAGTCTTTAAGGATAAGGATTTTTGGAAATTTTAAAAATTGTTGATTTTACTGCTGTTTGAAATTTAGGGTCAACCTTGTTTCAATAAATCATAACTATTGAAATAATAAACTGATTAATATGAGCCTTGCGGGTACTTACAGTGGAGACATAAGAGTACCGAATAAAAATTATTTCAGTGAGAAAAAGATATTTTTTAACCATTTATTTTGCAATTGTTTTAAATAAATGCTCTGCTTTTATACCGGGGAACTATTTTAAAATTTTGAAAGCAATGAGGATATAGCCCTATTTGTTCTCTTTATGGACGTATCTTCGAAAATATGAACACTTTTAAATTGACCGTATGAAAATTAATTGAAGTGAACGTTGCGTCCAAGCGCACCTACAAGTGCGGTACTAGCAGCAGCCTTGCAAGGTCTAATACCATTAATAGTTATCGGAAACTTACCCTCGTCGATGATATTAATTGCTGGAGATATTTTTCTGTCACTACCTGCGTTTCGAGTCACCCTGCATTTCTTTGATTGGTTCGTAGACGTATTTACCTTACCAGGGGTGGGTTTCTTGGTCCCTTAGTCCATGTTTGTCAGTACTGTTGTTACAGTCAAACCGAGTGCACGTGTCTTTTCGTACTACGAGAGTTTGAAATGTGCTACAATCCCCTTTGCGAAACCCAATCACAGTAAGTGTTTGAAACATACTAGACCTATTACAGAAACATTACAAAAGAAGTGTCCCAACTATTACGAAACACTTAAATCACAGTAGCAAATTACATTCATGAACAATAGCAAAAAACTCTAACAGAATAACATAAAAATGTCTCCTTGAACCCTGGTCTAAGAGTAATATTAATAGGCTTCATACTTACAACCACTGAAATTTAAAATCCTATTAATAAGCTACCGGTCGATAAAGCGGTTAAGACCGTGTCGACGCGTATCGGAACTGTGAACGGTGACACCGGGTGAAAGCTCTCATTTTTTGTCGTATTACCTCGACTCGACAATGAAAGAAAAACGAGAACGGACGACGTATCGGGGGATCCGTTTCATTTGTCATCGTCTCTTGCGCGGGCCTTAAACCAATATTCCTTTAGAAAGCGTGAAACATCGACGCGACCGAATCCATCTGTCGGTGTCGGCTTTCTATACAATTAAAAACTTGCCTTTATTCCAGGTACATGAAATACCTGTATCCGTACGAGTGCGAGAAACGACGGCTGTCAACGCCCGCCGAGCTCCAGGCGGCGATCGACGGTAATCGCAGGGAGGGACGTCGCAGCAGCTACGGGGCGTACGCGGGCGGCGGCGGGGCTGGCGAGAGTCTGGTGCAACGGAGCCCGCACACGCCGAGCTCGTTAGCGTTGCACGCGCAAATGTCGCCGTTGTCGTTGGTCACCGCGGTTGCTGCCAGTGGTCAGCACCATGGACCCCAGTCGTTGGTGAACGGAAGCGCCGCGCACACCCCTTTGACACACCATCCGCACCATCCGCAACACCCTCAGGGACCGCTGGGACAGCCACCGAATGCCGGTTAGCCTGATCTAGATTTTTTTTTTTAGCCTGCTCCATACACTTTCCGTGAAGCAGAGATGGGCAAATGCATTATCTAGATGAAAAGTTTCGAATAACGAATAAAAGATGAAAACTATATATTTCGTCATTTTAACTTGATTGAACGTGGTTATTCCAATTTTTATCATAAAATAATAGTTCTTCTTGAATTAGTAAAGAATTTGCAAACAAGTATTTAATCTTATGAACTATTGTAGGTCAGGATGACGATCTTCGTTACTGCTGCTTCTCAATATTATTCGAATAAAAGTGTGCCCATCTCTGCTGTGAAGCTACTGGGGTAACCTTAACCTTTTAGGTACAGCGAAAGGATGTAGGAAGAGTTGGGACAGTTTGATGGAATGGACACAAGGAAACATCAATGGTGTCTTGATATCCATAAACATTTATAGGTTCAAAATATAACCAGAAGATGAGATTGCTTATATGTGTCACTTTGTGGTCATGTTTTGAACTTTTAAATGTTTATGGATATCAAGATATTCCATTGTGACCTGTTGCATCAGTGTCCCAACTCTCCCTACCGCTAGATGGGCAGCTTTGCCGCGTAAATAACGTTAGTAATGCGGGGACGGTGTTTAACTCTTTCCACTATACATTTAGCCATGTTTAACCTCTTCAGGGACAAATTATTGAGACTTTTGTTCAGCTGCATCTACTTAAAATATATTTATGAATATTAATAGGTTATCCTTCTTTTTTGTTACGGAATTTCCCAGTAAGTGTTTATTCATAATAATATTTATTGTATCTTTAGAATCCTGTTTGAATGAAAGAAAAACTAAATGTAAACATATGTGCCAGTATCCCTCAAAAGGTTAAAAATAAATAATACACACGATATTCAACGCGAGAATAAACAAGTGAGCCATTGTAGTGTAGTATCGTTCAAAAGTGTGACTTAGAGACAAAAAACGAGTTAATGGGAAGCCATTATAGTGGCGTATAATAGTTGAAAGGTTAATAACTAGTTAGACGAAGGTGATTCTACCGCTAGAGGCCCCAAAGATAACTAGCCGCTGACATCGGTATTATAATCTACCGCGACTTGAAGGGCCCCCTGTGTCATCGACGTCTACCGTCACGGAGACCGTTGTGTACCCTCGCGAGCAAACTCGGCTTCCGTCAGGGGAAAAGGTGGCGTAAAGCTACGTCTACACTATACATATAACATATCAAGTTATATACCAAAGTTATAAAACTTGTCAGAAAAACAGAAAGAAAAATGTTACACAATGTGATGTTATATAATATTTTTCGTGTTATATACCAAGTGACATGTTATCCATCAAGTGTGACGGCATTATTAATAATGAGATACGAAATGTTACACAAACTTGTTACGGACTTTTCCAAAAGGTATAATTTTGTAATAAGTTATAAAAACATGTTGTATAACAATTTGTTATATAATACTCTTTTGTTACATAGTGTAGACACAGAAAATATCGATATTTCGCACTTAGAATCGAAGCATCAAAGAGAACAGCCACATTCTAACCTAAATTCAATATTCTTCCGACTGCGCCGGAAACTGAGAACGGAGCAATATTGAAAAACCAAAAAAAAAAAAAGACCGGAAACAGGAATCGGAACGAGCAACGGAACGTTTAGATGAAAAGTTAGCGTTAGGAGGCGGACAGGAAAGGAGGAAAGAGATATACCCAGAGAACGGGGGAATAGAAGAGGACAGTGGGTTTATTTTAAATCGGTAGTTAGGGTTTCCAAGCCTCCCCGGAGATGATGATGCGAGAGCGAAGGAGGCGTAATTGATTGTACGATCCCCCGGGAGACAGGCGTTAACGGATGACTCTCGCTAACGAGCATTCCTACTTCCCTACCCCTTTCTTCCCCGTTTTCGCCCCTACCGCGATCCAACCAACGGCCGTTTCCAACCCCGTTTCACCACCCTCCACGACTCCACGGTTGAACCAATTTCAATCGGTTCGCCCAGTCGCGAGCACCGCCCCTCGAACTTGCATTCGCGCCTGACTCGCTGCCACTCGGTTTCTCATGAAATAGGGCGGATTTAATGGTACGTTTTCATGTGACAATGAATCGTCACTTCCTTACGGTCATGACTAAACTTGCGAATCTTTATGCAAAATGACATTTTATACAATAATTCATAAGGGTAAGAACAGAAGTAGGAATTACTTTCTTCCCCTAAGTATCTTATTGGATTCCAAATAAAACAGAAAACTCGTTACATCTGCTGAAAGTTTTGTTTTTCATAGTATTTCACAAAACCCTATCAGGCTATAAATACATAAAATCTGTAGTGTAGTCATGACTCTAAATATTATGACATTTGTCGTCGTGAAAACCGGATGGTTGTCACATTGGTGTACATCGGCTCATACCAGTGTCACAACAAAACCCCAGGACTTTTACTGTCACATGAGAACGTACCTTAACTTTCGTTCGAATACCAGAGGTGTCTCGAAAGGATCGTATGTATCGATTACGCGACAATTTAGACGATTACTCAGCCCCCCCGAGACTCTCGCCGATGATTCACCACGAAATTTTCGTTGCTTACCGCATGTTTCTATTCTCCGCGTGGTCTACCCCAGGGACGAAGAGTCGAAGCCCCGTTCGAGATGGACGGTGGCGAAACCGCACTTCCAATGGGTCATTTGTCGAGACGTCTCGGTGCTCCCCCTCCCCGGTAGTCCCGTACGGACGCGTACACACCGTCTCTAGCAGATGTGTGTTCCTCACCCTGGATGCTGCTTCTCCTCTCTCGCGGTTCCCTTCGTCTTTCCCCACCCCCAGCTTGCCGATGGGGCAACGCCAATCAACGACCGTCGCCGTTTTAATTTAGTACTCCGTGAATGCCCGTTTAGACGCGGCCCCGCGTCGCGACGTCGCGTCAGAACGCTCGCGCGATTGATGCGGGCGAACCCGGGCCGTTTGATCGATCGTTCCGATGAACATCTTGGCCCAGCATTTACACTAAAGGTGTGTCTCTCGATAATATCGAAATGTTATCGATAATTCAGTACATCGGTAATATCGAAATGTTATCGATAATTCGATACATCGGTAATATCGAAATGTTATCGATAATTCGATATATCGATGATATCGAAATGTTATCGATGCTTCGATACATCGGTAATATCAAAATGTTATCCATGCTTCGAGATACCGATAATATCGAAATGTTATTAGTAATTCGATACATCGATAATATCGTTAAGGAGAATCGAGCCAGATGTGATTGAAATAGTGTGTAACACACAATAAACATATCATACGAATGTATTTATTTTTTGTGTAACTGATAACAGACAGCATGTTTGTGTGTCTTCTGCTGTAGTCTACTTCTTCGTCCGTCCAGCTTTAGAAAACAATCGTTCACTTGGAACAGAGATTGCTGGAATGGATAAATATTTATTATACGGTCATAGTCCAAAGACACGGAAAACTTGTAGCATCTTCGTTCTTCCACCACAAGACTGGATCAAATTTCCTATTCATTGCTTTCTTTAAAGTATCTATAAAAAATTCATTTAATTGTATAATAAGTATCAATAATTAATGTATCGATAATCGATAGTCCCAACTCTATGTTACACACGGCACGACTGCACAATAGTGTTTTGCCCTCGGGATATCTCGATTTGTTGATCTCCACCGCGGTGTGTGCACAATTAACCAGCGGTCTTAATTGTTATCGATCCCGCAGGACCGATCCCGGGAATGGCGCCGTCCGAATTCGAGGCACGAATGGTGGAGTATGTGAAGCTGCTGAACAAGGAGTTAAGGAGCGCGGGAGCGGGCACGCCGCCGCCGATGATCCATCGGCAAGGTAGCGCGTCGCCGCCGTCCTCGACGCCGCCGAGGGACGCAGCGTTCAGCGCCCTCGAGATGTCACGACTCACCCTATGGAACATGTACAACAACAACACACTTTATCCAGGCGTTGGTCACCAGCCACCATTATCGCCGCAGACCTCGCACTCGCCGGTACCTCCAGCGTCCAGCCCAGAACCGCAAAGGGAAGCCCTCGATCTTGGACTCAGGTAATTTTTAGATTAAAGATAAAATTCTCATATTATTCCACTGCTAGCTGTACGTTCGAACATTTTGTTTTAGCTGGCATAACACGACTCAAGAAAAGCTTTAACTTGATGATATTTATATATTACTATGAACATAATAAGACGTTTACTACAGGAGCTACATTTCTAATTTTCATGTTTATAAATAAATGTCTAAAATTCTGAATTTGCATAAACATCCGCAGTCTACCAATAACGTAGAAAGTGTCCTATGATTTTGAAACTGAATTTTGTACCAAATGATACCTTAGTTTAGAGTTATAATTAGAGTTCTTGAATTCTTTTTACACAATATTCTTTCTTGTTACGACAAAATGTTAAACATTGTCCGTGGAGGAGTAGTGTGAATTGGACCGTGTTAATTATTCTGTGTGTTTTCAAAGGAACATTCGTAACCAGTTAATTATGTTTCAGGTCATCGCCGGTATCTTCGTCGCCAGCGAGACAAAGTTCACCCTCTTCAGGCGGTAGCGTGCAAGTGAAGAGGGATCCAGACATAATCGGCACCCCTGGTCCTCCACCGGCGAAAAGGTTACTTTCCGACGACGACAGTCCAATCGAGAAAAACGCTTCGGCCTCCATAGGCACGCACATTAAAATCTCCAATCGAGGTAGGCAAACATTTACTCTTTGAATACTTTAGGTTACGTTTGTATCACGTAAAAAAAATGTAAAAAAATGTAAAAAGAATTAGGTTCCTTTTGGCCACTGTATTAAAAAAATGAATGACACAGTATCCAAACTAATACAGGTGGCCCATTAGGTCCGAATGTATTGCATTTATTTAAATACAAATCGCGCGTAACTTGTTGATGTCGCGAAAGTGCTATATCGCTAACCACAAACTTCGATTTTCATTCGTAGGAGACGGCAGGAACGGCGACAATTCCCTGGTGGTCAGTATGGAGCTGAACGGGGTGATGTACCAAGGTGTTCTGTTCGCCCAGACGGACAGCAGGACCGCGAGCAGCACATCGGCGAACAACAACACCGCGAAAGCGTCCCGGAGCGTGGTCTCGTGAACGACGGAACGACGTGCATGACACGCAGCCTACCCACGATGTGTCTCGATACTTAATTAACGACCCTTGTAGCATTCATTCGTAGCGATAATAGTCGTCCTCGTGGGCGGACGCGAAACACCGGTCTGCCGCACGTTCATTCACCACCGATCGGCAACGACGGTGCGTTCGTAATTGTACAAATCTTAAAGTTTATTTCTTTCGAATCGTGTTTCGGATTCGTTCAGAGGAGAGAGACAGACGGTTACGTTCAGTTCAATTCCGTGCGTTCCCCCCTTCCCATTTTGTCCACGCGGGAGGCTCCATGGGATCGTTTAGTTTTGCTTTTTACCGCGAGTGTCTATCCACGGGTCGTTGAAGGTTTTCTCGGGTCGGACAAAAGGCCGACAGGCAGGTTCTCGAATGAGTTCTGAATTTGTTATTGTGATACTAGTTGAGCGTTCAACCGATCGTCGGTGCTTGCCCCCCCCCCACGAACGGATTCGTTCGCGATTCATGTCGTACCGTTTGTTTTTGAATTTTTTCCCCCGATCTCGCGGCAGACAGATCTTTGTTCCCTCTCGTGTGCGCAGTGATCGCGTTGATCGTCGAGAAGATCGTACTTTGTTGTGTACGCGAAAATCGTAACGATCGGCGGTCTCGTCCCATGGTAGGCTGCTCCGCTTCGACGACTAATTCAATTGTTATATCGTGTGAATAGTAATGTATGTATGATTTGTGTGCAATGAAAAAAAAAAAGATGTCTCTCTTTTTTTTTTTTTAATTATGTTTCTCAATACGCCTTGCATTCCTTTCGTTCAAGGAACTTTCGGGAGTGTTTTGCGCTCGCCAGATCTATCTCCGTATTTGCCTTTTGGTTGCACGATCGGATATATAGTTGGACGAAAAAGAAGGAAATGAACCAATTACAACAAAGATAAGAATCTCATTTTCCGGAAGTATCTTGACTGAAAGGCATTCGGCCAAATTGGAGCAACGATTATTCACGAGAGACCGAACTTCGAATACAGTTGATGGATCATTTGTCCTCGCTTCTTCTTCTTTATTACTTTTTTTTTTTTGTAATCGTGTAATCAGCGAATCAAAACATCTTAACTTATTTATTGCCGCCGATTTCTCGATACCTCGAGACTCGAGCGTCGCCTATATTCTGGCGTGGTCCCAATTAGACTCGAGGAATCGGCCTTTTTCCGATATTTTATAGCATTTTAAATCAGCACGTGTACATTTGTTTTTACCGCGACTATTATCTATCATATCACTGCGAATGTTAGACAGTGACAGAGAGAAAGAGAGAGAGAGAGAGAGAGAGAGAGAGAGAGTGAAAGAGAATGATAAAGTATATACATATACATATATAAATATATACACGCACGTATATACATAAAGAGAGAAAGAGAGATAGAGAAAAATCGTCCATCTTATCGTTCGCTCGTTAAGTGTACATAGTCATTCAAACTTTCCTTTTTTTCCTTCGTTTTTTTTTCTTTCGCAAAGGGACAGAACTCAGTGCGACAATATTATACAACAAGATACGCTATTATTAATTATTATTATTACTGCTAGATTTAGAGAGAGAAAGAGAAATAGGAAAACTCTCGTATCGTGATTTTTATTCTTTTACACATGGATAATTTTTATTTTCTTGTACTTTCTTCTTCATTGCAGCCCGAACGGTTCTGTTTGATCGACACGGGGCTTGTATCGGGGAACCGGAAGCGAACACGTTAAACCCCGCGGATCGACGTTACTCGCTTCTTCTACGACCTTTTCTTTTCGTTTTCCTTTATTTTCTCGATGTTTCCCTCCATTATCGCGTGTGATTCGGCGCGGGAGAAACGAACGATGGCCGGGAAAGCATTTACTCTTGGCGTGCGATCTTGAAACGTTCGATCGACGCTCGGCGCGGCACCGTTCTCTTAGTTGTCCTTTTCGAATTTCTCCGATGTTTCGCGAAACGGCAAGAGACCCGTTTTTCTACCGGGTGTCGATTACTTGGGCCAGTCTCGAATACAATTTATTTACCGAGGGCGAGTGCGCGAACGCTGCGAGGCGACGCGGAACACCGACAAACGGATCTATAAATATAGAAATAATAAGAAACGTTTACCTTACATAATGCTTAGTATGTATGTGTACGCAACGCGCGGAAAGAATTACGGCACGAACACACACGCACACACACACACAGAGAGAAGACACACACACAAGTATATCCCCTCTTCTGGAGACGGACCGTGGAAACACGTAAGGTACGTGAAGTAGCGAGAATCGGAAATAAAAGTACATACTTTTTAGTCATAGTCGTTTAGGATAACAAGATTTAGCGAGGGTAAGATATTAGCAGAGTACGCGTGCGACCGTAATAGAAAAGGAAAACTAGATTAAAAAAAGACAGAAAGAGTGGTGTGCTCGTGAACCGTCAATCCGGTCATCAGACGGATGACGAGAAGCGAGAAATGGAAAAACTAGTTTCTTTTCAATCGTATGGAAAACAACACACACACACACACACACACAAACACAAACATACACACGCGAGTCGATAACGATAAGGACGAGAGAAGGATGAAATTGTTTTATTGTTTATAGTTCGATGGTTAGGCCAAAAAGACTGTTATATAGGACGAATATTATATATATTATATATATGGTAGAAATACTTTCTTATTATGGTTATTAAGAACGATATTATTCTCATCGTAAATATTATAATTACGACTATATTTACTGCTATTCCTAATCACTCTACTATTAGTATTATCGCAGCTATTTACTATTATCACCTTGTTACAGCGTGATAGCGAGTAACGGTTCTAATACAAGTAAAGGAAGAAAAAAAGATAAACACCGCGGCGAAACGGAAAGAAATACGGGAAATCCTTGTCGCTCCCCACGTCTATCCTTCTCGGCGGATACCATATTTCTTGTTCTTGATCGAGACAGCTTCTGTCTCGGGTTGGACCGGAAACTACATTTTCCGCGACGATCTCGGAACCGAGGACGATAGGTCTCGTCTTATTTTTTTCCGAGTGGTGCTCCAAGTTTGCCCTCCTTTTTATTTTCGGTCGATTACGACACGCGAAATTGGCCAACAGAAAGACAAACGATGTTTATTGAAAGTGTAGGCACGTCGAAAAGGCGAAACTCGTGAAAACCACGTCAACGTTGTCGCATTGTTCGATTGTGATTCTGGCACGAATGTTAGCGCGGCGATTGTTAATATTTATCGGGTCGTGGTCCACGATCCGGTTTATAGGTATTATTAATTTTCTTCGTCGATACCCGTAACAAAGATGCAGCACCACATTCACAAGCATAATATTGTAATAGTTATTATAAATGTTGTATATATTATATATGATATTATCGAAAGATGAAAAAAAAAACAGAACACTGACGACATTCAACTATTATAGTTCTCCATAAGTAGCAACTTAGTTATCTGTAAATCTATGTAAACGAGCCCACGAATATCATAACGAATAAAATCGACATTAGTTTTATATCAATAGTCCTGCTACCTCGTCGAGACTTTGTACTTACAGATTTATTTGTGCTCCTAATCTGGCCGAATGTTTGTAACCACAAAATTTTTATTGTTCTTATACCTGAACACATTTATTCGTTTCGTTAAAGGATGTTAAAACTTTGATTCATGATTAAAATCTTCAATCCTGGACAGTAGTAGTTTCTTTTCTTCTTCTGTCGTAAATGCGTATTGCACGGACAACATACACAACTTTACGAGCTCCTCTCTTCCGAGATCAAACGTCGAACTAGCTAGTTCGTATTCTTTCGACAGAGATGTATGAAAAACACCTTTGTCGTCGGTCTAAAAAACGAGCGATCCTTTAACTGGAAATTTGCTTTATACATTAAATATCTGCTTGTATGAATATTAACAACTCTACTCACACAAAGACTAATAGGATGTCCAGCTTCGTACAAATATTTGAACTGATGTGATCCATAAGAGGGTACTGTTTTACATTGAACATTTGAGGTCAAACACAATTCTAGATGAAAAATAATACTGAAGTATTTTGTAGATTTATGGCTAATGTAAGTAACTGTACTTAGTAATATTGACAATGTTCTTACCCACAGGAATCTTTGACTTAATAAGCATATCAAATAACTTATCTGATCCCTGTAAATTAGGATGAATGCAAGTACAATGTCCCAGTCTATCTGGTTTGAATTCAAGAATATCTTTTGTCTCTATTTCATTTGAAATCTGTGCTAGAACAACAATGTACTTCAGGTCCTTGGCGAATCTATCCAATTTATTATACTTTTAAGTAAAACATGTGACTTGAGTCTTACCTCTGCACAATGAGCTGCAATTTTAAGACCAGCATTTCTGGCTTTCTTTAACAACTCTAAAAATGCATCTCCTGCCATTGGATCCCCACTGAGATCTAGTCCTACTACACATTGTGGATATTTCTTAAAATAATGTATTGCTAGCTGTATGTTTTCTTCTGCTGCTTTATATCCTTGCTTACGATTAATAGATATTAATAATTTTACCATTATGTCTGGAAAATCTGTTTTACAGACCCTATAATTGTAAAATATAAGATTTAAATGTTATAGATTTACAAAATTTTCCAAGTTGAAACTATATATCTATTGAATTATGCTTACTGAAATGCTTTTATAATAGCTTCTATGTATTCTTGCTTTGTCATTTGTCCATTAATAGCACGAGGAGTGCTTCTGAGTTCTAAATATATTACATTATCTTCCTGGAACTCTTTGATTACATCGTAAGTAGATTGAAAAACTGCTTCTGGTGTTACTGTTAACGAATGTGCAACATCAAATACTTTGAAACACCTATGAAAAATTATATATTTAATTCAAAATATTGATACAATGCATTGATCGTGTTAACAAAATAAACGAGATAAAATATAAGGCAGGATTATCGTACTCGCCTAATGACGAATATTTTTCAGTACTCATAACTATGTTTTCGCAGTCCTCAGAAGTAGGATTTTGCATTTTATATAGTTTCTTCAAAGTGTCTGGACTCAACGAGCCGTTTAAATGAGCATGAAGTTCCTATAAAATATAAGATTCAAAAAATAATTGGTTTCATCTACAGACATTAACCTATAACTCGTTCAGAAATTACATGACAAATACGTACCACCTTCGGCAGAGATTTACAAAAATTTTTAATACTCATTCTGACGGATAAATAGAATCTTTTTATATAGGTACATATGTTTTTTCCAATTTAATTTAATTTACTGTTTATCTGACAGTTACTTGTTATAAGACAACAATGATATGAACGAATACTGATTGTACTTAAGTACATAAGTATGTATGTACTTAATGTACATATACATAAATATAAGACGTAAGTACATGAATTTGAAAATATAAGAATACACTTCTCAAAAGACTATACAAAACATTAGTTATCTTCTTAAAAAATTTATATTCTTATTTTATAATATTTTAAATATATTTACGGATAAGAGAGAAGTTGAATTCTAAGGTTATCAACAAAATTACGCGAAATGAATCTCACTAAACAGTGTTAAAGGCACTTTAATTAACTTTATTAAGTTCACAAAATAAAAAGTAACAGAGAATAATGAGACTTTAGATTATATATTTAGAGGTCACCCAATAAATCGTGACTTGTTGGTAATGAATAAATGATAAGTACATATGTATATAAAAACATATTATGTTAAATATGTTCAGTTACAATAATGTAAGCTCTTTATGAGATTCCATCAAGTAACCAAATACTTACGGCCAATAGTGTATATTTTTTGGTGTACAGATACAAATTTATTGAATACATTTATTTTTTTTACTAATCCAGTAATAAACAAGTACAGAAACATAGATTTTGTATATAAATAAAAATAGCACGTATAACTGTACTTTAAGAAAGCGAAGTTGAACAATTTGAATTTTTTAAATCTATCGTCGCACTTATGAACTATTTGATAACTTTTTGAGTATGTTGTACACTATAGTAAGGAGATGTAGTATCTACCAATCGCTAAAAACTTCTTACATAAGATTAAATCAGTTTTGGCATACTTATAATTGACATTTTTTTGTTACATTATATAAAGTATGAAAATTTATAAATTTTACACGTGTTAAAGTATATTGTAGAAAAATTGTTTATTCGGTGATTAAGGACAGAATCGTTTATTGTTGCTTAATAGATCTATATTCATAGTTTGTATAACGTTTACCATTTGTTCCTTTGTTAACGTTATAATAAATCATTAAGCAACATACGTTAAATTTCATCACTGTTTATCAATAAACAAGCACAAATAACTATATGTAGATTATGTCCGAGCATAAATTATATGTATACATTGTCTTAGGAATGTCTTTGAAATATATGTTACCGTTTAGAAAATATTATTATCCCTTACAACTTTTCATTGAATTTTGTGTATATGTGTAACTATGAAATATGAATGTACAAGCAAAACAGATGTACAAGATCTTAAGTTTAATTTTGGCATCAAAAGATTCGTGCAACATTTATGCTATAAATTATACAGCTGTATGCTAGGCAAGAATGATTCTAATGAATTCAAGAAATGTCTTATATTTTAAGATTGAATACCATTCCCAGGAACTGTTCATAATGAATTGTAATTACACCATCCAGATCTGTATCCAATTGTCTGAAGGCAGCAGTTAAGGTCTGAAAAAAAGATATAAACACGAAATATAAGTTTTCTTAAATATAGAAAGCAATATTGAATTTATAAAGGACACTATACGAGGTTGCACTTACATATAGGACAATGCAACACTGAATGAAATCATCAAAGTATATGGTTCCGTGACCAGCCCGATCATATTTACGTATAAGTGTATCTATAATGTGATCTGACAGTCTGTATCCAAAATTTATAAGTGCTGTTTTCAATTCATTTCGATCAATATTTCCACTGTTATCTCGATCAAATGACCGAAAACAGTTTTGCCAATCTGTTACATACTTCCACAGAGCCCCAAATTCTTCAAAACTGACTGTTCCCTTTTGTTGCTTGTCGAACATACCTGGAGAAGCAGGATCATTTTTGTCAATGTCAAACATACCTGCATCAATAAAATAGACTAAAGATGTATTAAAGATGATAAAGGACCATGCAAATTTATTCTGACGTAGCATACTTGTGATGACTATATGTAATTCTAAACTATTAACAACATTGCTAACACATATATTGCAAATCTATATTCATTTGCATGGTCATTTACAAACATATTAATATTATTTAAAAACATACTTACCAATCATTAAGCGAATGGTTTCTGGATTAAAGGGTGTCCAAGTGCCATTTGAAAGTGCCTGTTGTAATTCATCTGCAGTGATTGCACCAGATCTGTCTTTATCCACTCTTTAAAAAATAATTTGGAAAAGGAATAATATGTTTAAATTTAAAGTTTTTAAGATTTTAATGAAATTGTTTTTTTGTGCATTTGAAGTAGTTAACTAATGAACAGACTTATCTTCACAGTCATTATCAATACTCATGTTACCATTCATAATTACACTATGAATCATCAAGATAATTTTCATTTTGACGGATTGTTTTGCAAAAAACAGAGTAAACAAAGATACTTTGACTATTAGGAATTTATTAAGTTGAAAATAAAGTAGAAATATTATAAATTTGAGATGTATGTTTTCATCTCACTCCTCGTAATAAAGTAACGTGTTATAACGGTAACCTACAGAATTAAGTATGTCGAAATGCTTTGTTCGTTAAAAATATTAACAGTAGGCGCAGAGTAAAACCAAAACGATAATATCGTTTAAAACAAATTCTAAAATTCTTTGAATGAAGATATAAAATTCAAACACATTTATATTACCTTTGAAAAACATCCCATAGGAATTCCCGACTGGGCATAGCCGATACGAAAGTCATCTTTTTAATTAATGTTCACGGTCTTAAAGTATTTACTCAATAATAAATGTAAATTGAGTCAGTTATATTAGACCAATAGTACCTCGCGATTAACTGAAAGAGCACCACAAGTATGAATAAACAATTTGCGAAAAAATGTGCAAACAGCAAACAACGTCACGAACACGTCACTGTTTCGAGAAACTCTGGCGTGTTCACCGGTGTTACTAAATTCTTCTGAAAAAGTCACTAAAAGGATATTGCATACTCTGATTAACAGGATGACCAACTTATTTTTAAATAAAAGAATTCATTTATTCATTTTATTACTATTTATTGAAACATTTATCAATAATATTTATTACAGATCGTAAAGAATACTATACATAAAAGTATATTTAAAAGGTTATATACCTTGCGAAAATAGGTCTAAATAACCTGAGTAATAACAGTCTGAAAAGTCCTCCAATTTTGAATGTATATGAGTACTACATAGATATATACAATATGTATAGTAAAAACTATTATCTTTTATGTTGTTTTCCTTACAAAGGATGAATATTTAGTGATTACCATATTAAAGATAATGTTTAATAAAATCTTTAGTTCTTATAATTAATACAAAAAGCATTTTTTTATAAATTCGTTCAGTTCTGTGTAACTGACGTGGAAACTCGACTTCCGCTAGGGGAAAAAGTGGTGTAGGGAAGATTTAACATTTCAGTACTTGAAATAAATTTACTGAGTGGTAGGAGGCCTTTCTCCGACGCCACTTTTTCCCCTAGTGGAAACGGAGTGTGCTCGGCAGGGTACACTTAAGTTTGTTTAGATGTTTTTATTTTCCATGCTCCAATTCGGTATTTGTACCAAATGAAAAATAAATCTCTGCCCATTTGTAGCCAACTCCAAAATGGTACAATCTTAGAACCTTCTATTTCAGTCCAAGTTACAGGAATCTCAGTAATAGGAATGTTTAAAGATTGTGCAATATATAACATTTCCACATCAAATGCCCAACGTTCAACATGCAAGGCTTGGAATATAAGTCTTGCAGAATGTTGTGTTAAAAGTTTAAAGCCACACTGTGTGTCTTTAATACCTCTTACTCCCCAGAACCATACCAAGGAATGAAAGCCACGCATTAACAATAATCGGAAAAAAGTTCGTTTGGCAGTTTCATCTTTTTCTAAATGAGCTCTGGATCCACATACTACTGCATCTGCTGAACTCACTTCATTTGGTTTCTTCAAGTAATCAACTAAAATTAAAATTCTTATACCATAAATATTTCATGTGGCATATAATTAAAATAATATTTCAAAAGTAACTTACATCCTAAAATAGATCTCAGACTATTATCTAATTTTTCTAGATCCCCAAATTTGGTAGCACCATCAGCATCTGCAAATAATATTGCACTGCCCCTTGCACTCAAAATACCCTTAAATGCAAATGAATAAAGAATAAACTAATGATAATGCTTAAAACCAAAATATGGGAAATTTATGTATTGTTACTGACTAGTCTTACTGCACCCCCTTTGCCTCTATTCTTAATAAGATTTAATACTCTAATAGTATTATATTTTAGTGCATATTTATGTGCAATCTCCACAGTCTTGTCAGTGCTTCCATCGCTAACTACAATTATTTCATAAGTACATCCATTTTTTAAACGTTCTTCTAAATATTCCAAACATTCATCCAACATCAGTGGCACTATGAAACAGAAGTAACATTATACTCTTATGATATTGTTGTTAATGTATTGGTATTTACATCGTTGTTCTTCATTATACGCAGGTACTATGACACTCAGGTGTATGCTCCAATTATCATATAATGATGGAAACACTTCTGTAGATTTTGTCTTTGGATTGAAGAAATATTTCTCTTTTTCATCACGCCATATTTTGGGATATGGTTTCGTTATTATATACAATATTACAGAAAACTGGAAGTAAATAATGTTAGATCAATTACCAGAAATACAAAGTTGTCATAGGTATACATAATTATTGTATAAAACACTATTTGCTAGTGTTTAAAATGTTATAGTGTGTATAGAATTGCCACGTTTATGAATATTTACATGACACATAAATGGTAATGTAACCTAGAGACATACCGAAATCACACATATTACTACGAATATTATAGCATAAAGAAGTAAATATTCCAGGGCTATCATCTTAACATTAATAAAGTTTTAAATATCAGTAAAATGCACTTTATAAAAGAAACTAAGCGACGTGTACACTTTCATAGTTTTCTTTTTTACGCCGCTACCATACTACTACTCATGGCTGAATGGCCAATGGCCTGACTGAAGACTGAAATTTGAATGCCTGAGTATTGTATGGTTAGGGTTGAATCGATACTACCAAGGTATCGATACTTTTACTCATTGCTAGTATTTTATAAAGGTATCGATACTTAGTCGGTATCGAAACAAAAGTATCGATACCTACCTATTACTGTAGGAGCTCCTTTATTTCAGGCTATTTTATTTAGCTTAGGAACGCCCGTTGCTTAGACGTATTTCTCACCCACGTGCGTGCACCCCACTCTGTCGTCCAGCATATTATTTATTGCAATGACTAACCCGTGCTTTTCTATACTTTTATACATAAATAAGATAACGAAGCAAATTTAGTTATTAATCATTTTGTATAGTATAATTTTATTCACACTATTGATTACATTGTTTTCAATAAAGAAGAATGAATGAAATTACTGTTCAATCATACGTGCATTATAAAAAATTATTTCACAATAAATTAAACATTTTCGACAATGTAATATTTAAATTACATAAAGTTAAGTGAAAAAATATATACTTTTCCGTTTCATGTTTCATGACTGTCATATTTATCCCTTAACGTTAAACTGAAGCATCAGATATTTTTATTTCCGTCAAATCATATAGATACACGCATTATGAATGGAATATATAACACTTCATTTGTGCTAATTATACTCAGAATTTATGCTTTATCGGTAACGTCGGGTATTGACACTAAAATGGTAAGGGGGCTTCTGACGTCCTCGAAGCATGGAACAGAAAATTACATTGCATATAGGTCTATTCTTGTATCTCGTCTGTGGTAATATTCGACGCCAACTGTATCCTCTGGTGGTGACTGCGCGCATTACTCTTCTATAGATAAAGTAGAAATTTCATGAATCGACGACTGAATCGATAATGTCGCAATAGTTATCCTATTTAAAAATGTTCGGCCACAGGCGGTATATTATGTAATTTGTACCATTATTAACAATCTTTCTTATTTTCATTTCTCACTTTTACAACTTTTCTCATTTATTCTTCTTGTAATTTCTTTAATTCTGCGAACTATTATGGGTACTTCCGGTAAGTATGTACCTATGTACTTGTAATTAGAAGATATTTGACTGCAGTAGTAACTTCTAATTCCACAAACATAAGCTGTGTGTTACATTTCTTGTTCATGTTTAATACAAATTGTGTTCAGTCCTACAGTTAATAAGTTATGGTTACGGGTGTATATGCACGGGTAACATAGTTGTAAAGTGACAAATCCTTCATCATGACTTTACCAACGTGGAAGGTAAGAAAATACTTGAAGGAAATTATTTAGTCGATTTCAGCGAGACATTTTAAGAAAGTCGTTATCACCACCTGTAACTAAAATTATTATTGAAAACAATCCCTTAAATATGGATAATTGCAGTTTATTAGTTATACTGTCTCTAATGTTCGTTTTATTTGTCCAAAAAGTAATTCAATATTCAACGATAACTGAAAGTCAAGCAATTATTTGATAACAATGAAGAAGCGTCATCGGCTGTCAGAGCGTGATAACGTGAATCGATTTTGTGTCCAGAATTTCGTCCATCATCAGAAATCAAAGAATTTTCAATCAAATAACTATACGTATATAGGGTGTCCCAATTAATGGGATACATTTTGTTGTCCACGAAAATATTATAGGTAGCGATACAATTCGTTTCATGTATTATGTATCTAATTGGTCATTCTGATCGATATAACCGATTAATCATTGAAATAAGCGTTTGTAAACAGACTTGCAAAGTTTCTGGTGATGTCTGAAAGGATTAATGAATTGTTAACGTGAAAGGGTTACTACACTATACAGTCATTCTAGTATTTTTCGTCATATCTTTTTAATACCATAAAGTTGATAAAATATAAATAAATACTGTCAGAATTAAAAGGAAGCCACACGAAAACATAAATATTCATACAACATTTTATTAAAAGAAAGATGAAAGAGGTCTCCTTTTTTTTTGTTAGAAGTGTTTAATAGCGGCACCCTGTCAGTGATATGAAAGAGCATAGCGAACAATGACAAACTGAAAAAATCGAACGTTATCGTTATCCATAATAGTCCCAAAGGTTATTTGGTTGCAGCCTGTACACAGAATTAGTTTATCGTTGAATACGTTCGAATATGCTTTCTAGCTCCACTTCTAATATGATCGACGTCGAGTAATTTCAAAATATTCCGTGAATCAATACGAATTACCGTATCGCGAACGGTTCGACGATGCTTTACACAGTATTCGGAGTTTGCAAAATGGCCTCTATTATCCGTACGCGATCCCTACCTGGATGAATGATTACACGTTCGCCGTCGCTTGGTGCCTTTTTTCCGCCTCTCCGGCGTGGAGAGCCCTTCCCGGATAATTTCGGTATTTACGGGATTAATGTTCGTGCTATGAACAATACATATAAAGAGATGGGTTTTCGATAGATTGCCGGGGAACAGCTGCCCGGCCGGACACACGCCGCTAAGCGGCTTACGTCGACTCACGAAAAATTTTTGCGCTTTTTTGGAATATCGATCGCTAATCCGACAGGCGTTGGAATTACCGGTAATTTCGTCGGAATGAAATGATAATTGATTCGAGGGGTCGGATGAGGTTGACGGTGGGGTGGGAAGGGAACCCTTCGGGTAACGTCGTGTGCAGACGCGCCGGGGTTGATCGCGAACAGGAGCTGACCATCGGGATTGTTTTCGTCGATACGATGACGATAAAACGTAATATCGAGAACCGAAAGAGCGAAATGGAGGAGAATTTGTAATTACGAGTGTTGGCGGTGATACGTAGTACATTATGGTGAAATGTTTTTTAATTAACTCGATATAAATTACATTCTACGCTTTATTGAATTTTGCTTTGAGACGGTCAGTCGCGTTTTAATATGTCGGAGTTTAAGTAGGGAAGTTATTTTCTGTCACGGTGTATTACGTACGTGTATTTCAGAAGTGAACTATTAAATTATAAATTATTACTAACCTTAGTGATTGCATCTGGGCGTGTGGTGTTCATTCAACTTTGTAATATAATAGAATGGTTCACAAAAGGAGGACGAGTGTACATTTAATTCGTTCATTAAAGGTTTTAGTGAATTATAAAGAAATTAAAGATGTAGTTAGATCAGAGTTGGGCATAATTTTATTCAAATAATACACGGTGAAAAGTTGCAGTATCTAGGACGTTAACCTGTCTTCTAAACAGTTAATAACATTAAATAATTGTTTGTTAAATGTCGACTCATTCAGGAAAAAGTATTATTTTACTATAACTGATTCGCAAACAGAGAACAGATTTACGTTTTCAGGTGTCTGTGGGACACCCTATACGTTGTAAGTGCACGCATAAACATCTGAACTATAATTATCACATGTCAAACAATCGATTAACTTCGACCGATTGCACTGGGATCCGCTTCTAAACAGTACCGCGCACTGCCTAAACTAGTTAAAGCCCAGTGTACCTACGATCAAAGGCCATCTAAATAATGGTGTCACGTAACGACGCCTTATCTTCACGCGTAATTAATCGAATATCTTGCTTCGTGAATGAAATGTCAGAAATAATTTCACACTTGCATCAAAACACGAATAATCATAACGTTCGAGAACATCCGGAATTGTTACGGAACAACTGTGCTTCATTTGCAGGGTCGTCCCTACTTGGGGGGCCGTCCTAATTTTGTTTGTCTAAAACTTTAATAATCACGAACATCTTACATATAATAAACGGTCTGCGGCCGCCAGGTTTTGTCACCCAGGTACGGAGGCACCTTTTGCACCTTCGCCAGGAACGGCCCTGTTCATTTGGCGCGCGAATCTTCAGAAAGGGAAACCGTGACCCAGGTCATTGTTCTCGGAATATTTGCCGACTGTGTACACGGAATTCCGTATACGCAATATACAATTGAACGTCGTGACGACAGAGGTAGGCCTAATTCTGAGTTATGTGGAACGTTTTCATCGGGAATTACAGGCAAGTTACAAACGAGGCTCATATATCGCCGGATTATACCGCCGCGCGCGCGGAATTGAAAGGAGAGACCGCAACAGCCTGTGCAAATAAGGCGGGATGGTAATACGGTGTGCCTTCGGCACGACCGAGCCGGCAAATAGAGTCAAATCGAGGAAGAGGGCGATAGTGTAGTCCGTGGTGTCGGTACGTTTGAATACACAGCAGAACACGGCATATGCCTGTTTGCGTATATACGGTCGCATAATTCACAGGGATATCGTTGGTGTCATCCACGAAAGAAACCCCGTGATCGGTTTGGCATCGAGCCACAAAAGCTTCGCCAATGAACGATGCTGCGGACGCTTCCGTTCTCGTTTTGCGGATACACTGTCGCGCTAACAGAGATCCTCCATTACAACCCGGGGATATATTTAGACCTTGATATTTGAATACAATTGGGACGGTGACTATGAACGTGGCCTGAATCCATAATCCGTAAAAATTGAATTGTCACCGACGTTGTGTTATACAGGATGTCACTATAGTATGCGGTCGCGAACTTTATCGGAGCATTAAGCTTATCGCAGTGGTAAAAGAGCATCGTGTAACTGTAGAATTGTAATTGCTTCATTTACAAGATACAGTGTTTCAAAAGTACTTATTACAGGAAGTATTCAGGATGAGATCGTATAAATGTAGATTGGTAATTGCTACATTTATAAGGTGCAGCGTTTCGGAGGTTTTTCTTTGCAGAAACTGTTCAGAATGACTCGTTTGTGTTAGAATGTATGCTTGATGGACTTCCAAAACATGTAGGTAAGGGAATCATTTGCATTATGTGGAATAGTTTATATGTTATTAGGTATCGATTATTGTCGCCGGTATTATTTTTCATCTAGAGACTGTTAGATCCAC